TTCTTTTGCCAGAATAGTCATAATCACGAAAAATGGACATGAAAAACCAGATCACATCCTAAAAACAAACAGCAGTCACTAAGACATAGGCCTACATAGGAGCCGATTCGATGGAGTTCAATGTCATACCCAGGGAAGGGCACAGACCTGTTTTGAAAGGTCGAGAGGGAGGGCATTTTGTGAGTCGACACCCACCTCAGCCCCACAATGGTTGGAGCTGAGGTGAGAAAATTTGAGGAAATAGTACCCGGCTAGATGGCCAGAAATGACACTTTTAGTAAAATGCATCACCATCTCATCACCATTAGTCAAAATGAAGTGCCAACAAAAATTCTCATGATCTTTTATCAGGGATTTTTGACAACCATAGAGATCTTATTAATGTGTGTGTGTATACCATAGAAAACAAAGCTTAAAAACATTGTCTTTGAGTATGTACTTTACATAGGCCTACTTCAAAAACGTGATTTCACAACCACCTCAGCCCTACCATGGCTGGGGCTGAGGTGAAAAAATTTGAGGAAATGATACCTCTCGAGATGGCCGGAAGACACTTTTACATAGTAAAATTCATCATCATCACATTACCATTATAGTCAAAATGAAACGCCAACAAATTTCTCATGATCTTTTCTCAGGGATCTACTTAATATCCAGGATAACTTAGGCCTAAATAGCTTACTAAGCTTGAACTATATATAGGCCTACTATAGTATCAACAACAAATCACAACTTTTTTTTCGCATTTAGCACAATTTTCTTCACTTTTTATTGCTATTAATATTATTGTCAGTTATTACTCTCGTCATCATCATCATTGTTATTAATATCATTATTACTATTGGTAGTAGTGTTATTAAACAAACATTAAAAGAAACTTGCAAAAGGATAAAAACGAAATTGAACCACAGTATCGCATTTCTATCTTAAAAGACCTGGCCTGAGATTTATGGATTTAAGATTTTTTTAAAATATGCTTTAACATTTTAACACTGTGTACAAAGGGGGGGGGAGCCGCGGCTCCCACGGCCCCCCCCCTGGATACGTCCCTGGTCTGGGTGCAGTAGGAACCTTGGTATGAACCCAAATAGAATAGAACAGAGCTTTCATTGTGCACGTATAGAGGGCAGCATTTACCTTGTCGAAGTGCGTCGTGGTCATAGTCCAGTGGGCAGTGCAACAACAACGCTGGTGAAATTAATAATTATAAACTTAATAGATTGATCAACCTTTTTACCGGTTTTTGAAAGAAAACTTCAACGTAAAGCGTTTCTTAATTGCTTAAAAAATATTTTGTTTTATTTTCTCTGCTCTCGCAATAGGCCTACTTTCTAGTCTAGGCCTAGGCCTAGCTACAGTATGAGGAATGCTAGGCTTACCTTACCTGAGTTACCCATCCTACTTAGGGCGGCCTAGTCTGGGTTATCATTCGGTTATCTAGGCCACCTAGGCTAGGTGATATATATACAGGTACTTACTATTGTTTAGCAGGACAGAACTCGGTAGAGAAGGCGGTGCATGGAAGCAGCACTCCGGGGTCACACATGGGAAAGCGAAAACGATATCTTCCTGGTACTGGTAGCTATGGCCGTTTTATTAAAGGCAGAGGAGGTTAATGTTTAATATTGATGGATTGAATTAGAAATTTCAATCGATACCCGGGGCGGATTGCTATAAGCGGTCTTTAGACGGTCTTAACGGTTAGCCGGCTATAATCGTGACATCACTGACTGGTCTATAAATATGGACCATTGCTATACTGCGGTCTAACCGGTTAGCCATCTTAAATTTTAAAGCTACTCGGAGGAGGCTTAAAACGGTCTTAAATCAGCAGCATTTATTTACATTCATTTAGATACAATTGCGTGTGTCGGGCACGCATGACGTTGCCCTCAATCTTGCGTTACCAGGGAGTGCTTGTTTGCATTTCAATACTGAAAGTGGTCTTAGGGAAGTCTGTTTTATAGCAATAGTCTTAAAGGAATGATAAAGCGTGCTTTATTCAAGGAGTTAAGACTACTGATTAAGACCGTTTTATAGCAATCCGCCTCTGGTGTAACAATACACATTGCATACTAGGCCTATACAGTACTATTTAATAATAATTAACAATACAGTATTATTCAATTATTATTATTGGGCTTAGGACCTAGGCCTATGGCTGTGTCTAATATATTAATTTAAAGTTAAATGATTTATTTTGACGTCTATATCAAGTGGTGTCTCAAACTACTTATGGCAATCTAGCTTAGGCCTTATAAAGTACAGCAGAAAAACATTTTATGGCAATCTGAAAATACATCAAAATCACAAATTTATGATTTAAATGTCACTTTCTACATATGAACCCACGTAACACATTGAAAACATGTTTAAATTACTCTTAAATACTATTAAACCCCAAATGTCAGCTAATAAAAGTGCCATTTTTCCTATGTTCCAGAATGGACCTCTTCTATATCAGCTGGATAACAGCCCTTCACCTCTTCAGCTTTTCTTTAGTTACATCATCATCAGATGAGACATTCACTGCTGCTGTGGTTGAACCTGTGACTTCAGAACATATTTTACCAAATGTGACCAAAGAGTCTGCTCTTAAAGTCATTAACAAGAATCTTAATCACTATGAAGAACTTATACAAACGGCATCACAACAGGTAAAGTGGAAATGTGAAAACTCTGCATTAGCAAATGAGTTTGACAGAATTTGTGGATAATTCAATACAAATTATGAGAACTTTGTTTAACACCCCTATTCCAAAGATAAACTGTAGAGTGGCTGATCAAGAGATTAGTAACAAAAGGGGCATGTGTAAAGACCCATACCCCTCCCCCCCCCCTCATCAATCCCACCAGTGCCAGTGCAGTGGCTCCAGAATTGTCCAACATGTTTTATGGCTTTAGTATTGTCCAAATTGTGCTTTTAGGCCACAATATTAGGGATATTAATCAATGTTATTTGAATAGGCAAATTATATTTTTCTTTATTTTTGATCTGACGATCTCGCTGTGGCACCGGATGACAAGGGGATCAGGCTTGTCTGATGAGGGAAATGCTTTTTGTCCCCCCCCCCCACTCTCGGCGGCACCAATGCCGGGCCCCTTATGCAAGTTATGCATTTATAAATTTTAAATAACTTTTATTTCAGAATGCTAGCATCGTCGTCTTCCCCGAGTATGGAATTACTGGCTTTGGTCAGAGTCGGAAAACTGCTAAAGTCTTTGGAGAGGTGGTGCCAAATCCATACATTACAGTTATCATACCATGTATTGACCTAACAAACAGCACTATACTCAGAAAATTAAGTTGTTTTGCAATGCAGTATAATATAGTAGTTGTAGCTAATATGATTACTATTGAAGCATGTTTGCCTAATGACTCCCATTGTCCAAGTGATGGGCATTATGTGTACAACACTGATGTGGCATTTGAAAGAAATGGTCAGCTTGTTGCTCACTATAACAAAATAAATGTTTATGCTGATGAGAAGCAGATATTCGATACGCCTATTGGGAGAAGCATAGAAAATTATGGCGTATTCAAGACAGACTTTGCAACCATTGGTCTTTTCATCTGTTTTGATATGTTGTTTGAGTATCCAACTTCGGACTTAGTGTATGGTGTTGGAGTAGACACAATGGTGTTTTCAACTGCTTGGATGAATGAGTTACCATTGTTGAGTGCTGTTGAGTACCAGGAAGCATGGTCTGTGCGCTATAACACTACATTATTAGCATCAAATCAGCATTTACCATTGGTCAAGATGACCGGTAGTGGAATCTATGATGGTGATAGAGGTGCTTTGACCTACCACTACGACATGGTTACATACAAATCAAAATTGCTGATAGTGAATGTTCCAAAGCGCAAGAATGTCCAGATCATCCCAAGTGTCAGAGAGGTTATCATCTCAATTTTAAGGAACATGGATTATGAAACCTTAGACAAAGTATCACCAGTGATAAGAGCTCTTTTGGATAATAAGTCGGACCTTCAGCTGAGAGATACTATTTTTCAAGATAGGTATGCGCCCCAAGATATGTATGTGCCCCAAGAGATCCACCACACTCAAACCTCATTCCAAGGAGTCATGAATGATGACCTGTACACATTCGAACCTCTTGTAGGTGCCACTGGTCATGTATCAGTATGCAATGGTAGTATCTGCTGCCATTTAAATTATACACGTGAAGAAATGAAGAGTTACGAGTTGTATGCTCTTGGTGCATTCGATGGACTGCACACACACAATGGCCGATATTACCTCCAAACTTGCAGCCTTGTAAAATGTCAGGTGAATGAAGGAACCAAATGTGGCGGTGAAATTGAAACTGCAAAAGGGGTTTTCAACAACATTAGCTTAAGCATAAGTGGTTATCATCCTGTTGTTTATCTTTTCCCAGAAGTAGTAACTAACAAAATTAATTTAGCAGTGATTGGTAAGGAATGGATATCGGAGTTTCCGTATGACCATATAAGGAGCATAGGGAATGGCATAAAGCAACCTCTTGTAGCTGCAAGTATATATGGGAGATGGTATGAGAGGGATACTGTCTTACCTTAGAAGATGGTATGACCATGGAGGTATAAATACATGGTATGACAGATGGCACAATTCATACAGTAAAATTAGGTAATAGAACTGTGAGATATGTTGGGTGTAATGCCATCTTCTCTGCACTGTATTGCATTGAACATTGTGGACAGAGCCACTTGGCATTTAATTATTTAGGGCCTTTGAAATTAGATATGTTTAAATTAAAACTTTCCAAGTCAGCTTTCAACTCAAGTTGTTATGCAATAATTCAATGTATGAAATAAATATGAATTTTATAATAGAAATTGAAATATATTTTTTATATTAATTAACTGATTATTGAAAAGCATGGGAAACGTGTAATGCAAGGTTGCATAGTATTTGATTAAGCTTTAAAGGGTTCTGGTTTGAAATCTTACAGTACATCCGTAAGTTCTGTATGACATCTTATATTAAATATAATATTAATTTCAATATGGACATAAAGAAAATTTGAAAATAATAAGTTATTGAAACCTGGCGTAAGAACCAATAAACTGTATATCTATGAAAATATAAATGTGTTCTAAAAGAAATTTCTGTTAAAGTAAAAAAATTGTTTATGCAAACAAGAGAAAATTGGAACTTTCTACATTCTTTCTACTGTATTTTGTTTTATTCAATACTAAACAAAATGGGAATTGTCCAACTAGTCTCCCATAATACATATTAATCCATGCAATAATGCTATAACAATGATTTAATAATTATATCTAGCAATCTCTAATACTGTATTACGTAATAACATTTTCAACTGGTGTGCACCTGTCTCTTATACACATCTAGATGTGTATAAGAGACAGGTATTGCATTGAACATTGTGGACAGAGCCACTTGGCATTTAATTATTTAGGGCCTTTGAAATTAGATATGTTTAAATTAAAACTTTCCAAGTCAGCTTTCAACTCAAGTTGTTATGCAATAATTCAATGTATGAAATAAATATGAATTTTATAATAGAAATTGAAATATATTTTTTATATTAATTAACTGATTATTGAAAAGCATGGGAAACGTGTAATGCAAGGTTGCATAGTATTTGATTAAGCTTTAAAGGGTTCTGGTTTGAAATCTTACAGTACTGTACATCCATAAGTTCTGTAAGACATCTTATATTAAATATAATATTAATTTCAATATGGACATAAAGAAAATTTGAAAATAAATAAGTTATTGAAACCTGGCGTAAGAACCAATAAACTGTATATCTATGAAAATATAAATGCGTTCTAAAAGAAATTTCTGTTAAAGTAAAAAAATTGTTTATGCAAACAAGAGAAAATTGGAACTTCACATTCTTTCTACTGTATTTTGGTTTATTCAATACTAAACAAAATGGGAATTGTCCAACTAATACATATTAATCCATGCAATAATGCTATAACAATGATTTAATAATTATATCTAGCAATCTCTAATACTGTATTACGTAATAACATTTTCAACTGGTGTGCACTGTTGACTTCGCAGAATCATCTTTAAAAATCTTAAAGCTTCAATAAACACAAATGTCCGGACAAAATGACATGCAAGATAAAATCTTGACAAGATATATTTTAAACAAACTTTTAAAATAGGTTTGACAGACAGGGATTTACACTTTTTTAACATATAATTTGCATATTAAAAGTATGTAGCATAATTTGAATAGATGTTCTGCCTTATACAAACTTGAGTAAATGTTATTTTAAAAATAAGATGTAGAAAGACTTGAGAAGATGCAGAAAGACAAATCACAAATGTATACAGTATATAGATACATACACTGGAAAAAATAACCAGCAGTATAATTTAAGTACAGTATACAGTAACTAACACAACTAAAATTACTGGATACAGAATAACTATTGCATCATTAATTATGAAAAGTCTTACCATGTTTCTATAATTAAACTGGTATTTTCTCTGTATATTTTTGATTTATAATTGTTAAAGCTAAATTGTTTTTTGAGTCATACAAGGGAGGTGGTACTACACATCCTCATCATACTCTTTCTAGATTAATTGTTTAATTAATGTTTTATTTTTTTAAAATTTGTATCTTACTTTCATCAGTACATGTTTTGTGTCCTCTTTGCTAGACATGACTATTACAAATGTTTGCTTTTTGATTATGCCTCCTTCAATTTAATTAATGTCTTTCTTTGTATCTACAGTGTTTGAAGAAAATAAAGATTTCCGTGTTAAAATCATTTGAAAAATTGTATTTGGCATTTTAAAAATAATGAACAAAGTAATGCATTAAACCTCAGTTAAGTACTAAAATAAAAACTAAGTAATTTTCAAGGCGACTAAGCCTTGAAGCATTTTCTCATATTTACACTGATAGACATCAAGGTTTTAAAATAATATGAGTTTTGCAACATTTCTTTTGTCCAGAAAAAATATTAACAAATGTCAATTGTTATATTATATTTTTGATAATAAAATAATACGATGAATTAGAATTATAATACATTATATCCTGCATGTTCAGGAATGTTACTTGAAATCTATGAAGACCACTTATCCATTACAATCACTGATTAGTCCAATTCTTTTTTTAACACATACATGCTAAATTTAAATTCTTCATCAAGCACTGAATCTAGGTGTTTTTTGTGACATGGCACCCTCTACCAGCTCTACTGATAAATCATTTTTTTGAAGAATTGTATTTTAAAGCAAAACTAAAAATTGAAAAAATAGTTCTGAAATTTGAAATACTGTATGTTGGTACAATGAAATTATATTAAATAACCTAATCGTAAGCAATCTAAAAACTGCATTTATTTTTGCATCATTACCATTAATGAAACCATTGCGTATCTACATTATTTTAACTTTTAGTGTTTTATCTAAAATGTTTAACTGAATTAAACAAGAAGAAGATCATATACAGTATTTTTATTCATTAAGATAAAGTTGGTATGTGAGTTAATATGATGTGTGACTTAGTGTGAGTTGTCTTCTGTTCTGCATTGGTACAAGATTAGCCTTGCACAGACTGTCTGCAGTGAAACTGTGCAATGGCCTTCCAAGTTTCGACAGCTTGACTTAATAATAGCGTGTCTGGGAACTGTTCCAGACCAGGAATCTCACTATTTTCATTTTTACTTGTACAATGTGCATCCAGTGTGTAGGATATCCTGTAAAGAAAGAGATTTCTTATTTTAACAACAGTACAGTATTAATTAGCCTTTCTGAGAAGTAAAATACAGTATATGGCAAACATGTCAAAAGAATTCAGGTTGGAATTAAAGACTAAAATTTAAAGTTGAATACTGTAATACTGTACATAAATCAGCGGTGAAATTGGTGGTCTGTGAGTGAGATACTTACCTGGATAAACTCATTAATGCTTATTTTCATGTAGTCGTCCATTCGGTAAATCGGAAGAGGATGTGGTACATACTTGCAATGTGGAATGAATGTTATGGATGCCGGAGAAAAGAAAACTATGAGATATAACCTGAGGGGAGGCATCCCTTGACGACAGTCAAGGACAAGATCCACAAAACCATGGGTGGGGGCTGGGGGGCCAGGCTCCCTTCCCCCACCAGTCGCCTAGCTACATAAAAACTTGCCCTTTACATGAAAAATTGAACCTAGAAACTTTACGATGCGACTTAAAAACTCTATGCACTGTAGATTGAACGAATGGGGAGGCCCTGAATTGGTAGGGAGGCAGCCAATTGGTTGGATTTGTAGCTACATGAAAATATGCATTGTTCGGTTCATCCAGTATTCATGAAACGGTCTGAAAATCAAATATAAGTGGTGCTGCACCCAGTATAGCAGGAACCTGGTCTGATCCTATACTATAGACTTCCACTTCCATATAAATGTGTGCTTTTTCTACAGGAACTTTTCAAGCTAATGAAATACTGTATGTCTTTTGAATTGACTGTGCTGCCCACTTTCATTTTTTTGTTGTTGCAAGAAATAACAATATCTTCCTGTTCTTCCTGTTTGATTATTCTTTGTTTTGCCAAGGTTCATGACAATATAACTCACGATTTTATTTTATTTTATTCAATTTCCAGGTGAAAAAACAAAATTTTAATACATAAAACAACAGTACAATCAGCACCTGATGGTAGCCATAAGTGGGATCAATTCAAAGAATGCAATTTGCATTTTTGTAAGCATCTCGCATACTTGCAGCTAGGTTCAGTACAAAATGTATGAACAATCTACAACTTATATGATTTTAGCAAGGAACTGACTGAAAATCTACTGGGCCATCACAGGGTCAGTTTCTATAGCAATTGTTAGAAGACTCTCTAACTGTTTTAGTCTCATTAGCTGCAGAATTCTTTCTTAATGATTTAAACATCAGTTCTCAATGTCAATGAGCCATATGTTCTGTTTACAATATATTTATAGTACTTTAGTATTTTATACTCACGGCCACTTTGTCCTTTCTTCATCTGTGTTGGTAGATTGGCGTCCAAGATTCAGTACAATATACTCATAAAGCTCTGCACAAAGTAGGTCCACTTTGATGAATCGTAATTTTGCAATAAGATCTTTCTTTTGCTCTTGGTCCAACTCCTCTCGATATTCTTCTCCAATTCCATCAAATGGATCCTGAAAACGGTAA